GTTTAAATATTAGCGGCGGATCGCTTATTTATCGTTTATTTCGCGTTGTTTAAACCTAAAGGCTTCGTCTTAAAATTTACCCGAAGTTAGCGCGTAGCGCATACGTAGGCATTTTAAAAATATTTAGTTTTATTGTTTTTAATTATTTTTTTTCGAATTTAACGTTACGGTACGATAAATAAAAATCGAATAAAAACGGTAGCTTTAAATTCGAATAACCGCGCCGGCGTCGTTTTATAAGCGCCGTAAACGGTCCGGAAATAACCGTATTAAATATTTTTAAGCCTTTTAACCGGGCCGGATAATTTCGCGGGTATTTAATATTACGCCGCCGACCCGTAAGCGAGGTAATTATAAATTACGGCCGTATATAATAATCGGGTTTAAAAAATATTATATTTTTATATATAATTAATAAGCTTTATTAAAATTAGCTTTTAAACCGTTAATTTTTTACGTATTTAAGCGATATAAGCCGATTAATTAAGCTTTTTATCGAGCTAAATTTTTAGGAACCGCGCGGATTTTACCGGCGATACGGTAACGGGACCGAACCGAATTTCGGCAAATTTTGCCTTATAACCTTTAATAAAATATAATAATTTATTTTTTTCCGGGGCGAATTTTATACCGTATATTATAGCTTATTTATTATAAATATTTTAAACGGCTTCGAAACGGCGGTATATTATAATCGTATTATAACCGACGCTTAATAAGTTCGTATTATCCGCGAATTTTATTATAATTAAATCCGGGTTAACGGTAGCGAATATTTTATATAAAATAACGTTATAAATAATAAATAATATAAAAAAATAATAATTTTTATAAGACTCCGGCGTTAATATAAATCGGCGCCGAGTTTTCCCCGTTAAACCGGAGGCAAACCGACCGGTCTTTTAAAAAATAAATTACCTACCGCCGGACTTAGGCCGGGAATCCTTTTTTGCCTAAAATATCGAATAAGCGCCGGTAGTTAATTATATCGAAGGTTTTTTTAATATTTAGTTATAATAACGATATAACGTTTTTATGGTTTTACGTTATATATATAACGTTGGTAATTACCTTAATAGCTAGTTTGGTCGATTTTTTTTCCCGTTTTTTATTTACCCGTAAAATAATAACGAGTATTATTCGGCCAGCGCCGAGATCCGTTTAGCTAATATAAATTCGAATATTTTTTTATGGCGTTAATAAAAGTTATCGGCCGTTATCCGCCGGCGGTTCGCTTTTAGGCCGTTATTTTATTTAATTTTAATATAATTATTATTTCCGTTATATAAAATTTTTCCGGGTATTAACCGAGCTTAAAACTACGGGTTATTAAATAGGCGATAACCGTAAAAAATATTTTTATATATTTTAAAAAAGTTATTCGGGAGGTTATCGTCCCCCGGGGACTTTTAAAACGTAGTTTTTTAAAAAGCGTTTTTAGCGTATTAATAATCGACGGTACGTTTAGCTTCGAATTTTTGGCGATATATTAACGGATTATCCGCGATATCCGAAAGGTCCGCCGGTAAATCCGGGAAAAACTTTTATATTAATACTTTAGCTTTTTGCTTGTAAAACTTTGTTAACCCGGGATCGTTACCGCCGGTTTCGAATATAAAAATACCGTATATTTCGGAAGGAAAATTATTATAAAGCTTGGCTTATTTTTATAAAGTTTATAAGTTTTTTTTATTATTATTGCCGTAGGCGGTTTTTTTAATTATTAATATTAAATTAGCTTTTATAATTCGGCGATGGTCGTTGTTTAGTCCGCGACCGCCCTAATATATTCCCGCTAATTATTCGCCGATTTTTTTTAAAAATACCGGTAGCGTTTTGTACGCGTTTTTTATAAGCTTTTTATACCGGTAAAAATTATTATTCGACTTTACGGCCGGTGTTAGGCGTTTTTTTAGGACCGTAATATTAATTATTAATTAAAGATTATTTATTAACTAATTAAAGGCCTAGTTTAATTCTTCGATATTGTTTATAATAAGCTTAATTTAAAGGCGTTATAACGTTTTAGCCTCGACGAGCACCCGGTTTATTATTAGTTAATTTTAACTACCGTTTTACCGTAAATTCGCTTTTATTTCGCTTAATAATAAGAGCGTAATATTTTAGGCCCGGTGGTCCGAGCCCTTAAATTTTTAGTTTTTTTCGAACCGGGCGTAAAACGCCGGTAAGCCTTAAATAAGGTTAATAATCGAATTTTTGGCGCCGTAATAATATCGGGTAATTTTTCCGTAAAAAATAAATAATATTAAATCCTATTTTTTTATAAATAAAATAACGGTATTAATATTAGGTAACGTACGGCCGTAAAAATCTTATAAAAAATAATAAGTATTGAAATCGCTAATAAATAAATATCCGCCCGGGAGCGGTTTTTTTAAGATATCGTTAAGCGGGCTAATTTACGGCCCGCCCGTTTAGTTCGGAGAATAAATAAATTATATTATAACCGTTTTTCCCCGGTGCCGAACGTTAATAAAGCTTAATTAAAGCCCGACCGGGATAATACCGTTCCGGGGTCGAAACGTTTATTTAAATAAATAACGGCGCGGCCGTTATAATAAATAATTATATAAAAATAATTATTAAATATTAAATAATTTTAATTTAGCGGTTAATTTACGGGTTTTAAAAGGTTATTATATTATAATTTTTTTATAAAATAAATATTATATTAACGTAATTATTTGCCGTATTTTAATAAAAACGTTAATTTTTATTAAATAACGGCCGGAGTAATTTATTTTAGCGTTTCGGTATCGGCTTATAACCGAAAATACGATTAAATCGAGGCGTTCCGGTCGGTAATAAGCCGTATAAGCTTAGTTTTTGGGGGTTTATTTTTCGGTTTAATAATCGTAAAGCTATTATTAAAAGGTTAAAAAAAAGCCGATAAAAAACGGGACCGATATTATTACGGGTAATAAACGAAAAACTTACGCTACGGACTTCGAATTACTTAGGACGGTAGGAATATACCTCCGCGATCCGCTTTTTTTTCGCGACCGGGCATACCCGCTTTTACGCGTAGTATTAGTTATTATAATTAATATAACTTTTTCCCCGTTATTAAGATATTCCGGGTAAGCTTTTTTTCCGCCTAAATAAATAATAATTATATATATTATATATTTAGCTTTTTTTTATAATACCGGGCGATATACCCGAATTAATAATATTTAAAATATTAGCGAATTTATAACGTTACGTTATAAGGCTTATAATTAAAAATTTGCGCGTTTTATATAAAGCCGTCGGAATATAACCGTTATACGTTTTCGACGCTACCGATATATATAATGTCGTAATACTAGGTTTAAACCATGTATTAGGGCAGGGAAGCGTTGGATTCGAAGTAGAAGTGGTAGAATAGCACCGAAGGTAGGTATTCGAATGAGTGTTGTATTGTAGCTTGGTAGATAAACGAAGGAAATCTAAATATAGGAAATTAACCCCTTTATATACTTAAAATCCAAGTAAGTAGAACGATTTGGAAGAATATTATTAATCCAACGGATTAATAATATCTTGGATTATCAATGTGGTTGATTTGTAATCATCGAAAAGAATGGAAATTCGTAGATATTCGATAATATTCCACGGGCCGGTGGGGCTTACCCGGAACGGATCCCCACGCCCACACTAGTATGGCAGCACGGTCCAACAACCGATGCACAGCCATTTTGAGACCACTAGCCACAAAGGCGGTGCAGGGTAGGTCCGTGCAGCGTTCCTGGTAGGCTGCACGGGCGGCTATCAACGATAACCTACTATTACCCAACGTGGTAACTCAGCGATATCTCAACGAATATCGCAGCTATGATAATGCAATAAATTGCATTAAATAGCGTTTTTTATGCACTTAACGATGCTGTATTAACATCTATGCATATTTGCAACATATAATAATTAAGCCGTAAAAAGCGGTTAATAATTACGGGAAGCTATATTTAATTTTAAAAATAAATTTCGAATTTGCGTTTTAAAACGCGGTTGTTAACGTTTTTTTATCGTACGCGTCCCGTAATTATTATATTAAAATACCTTTCGCGATAACGGAAATTTCGCATTTATTAATTTTTGCTTCGTCGCCGAATATTTTAAGGACCTACGTGCCGGTAACGTCGATTTTAGTATTTTCGATCTTAAAAATAACGATAATATCGCCGTTATTTAATTTACGGTACGTTATTATATCGTTTTTATTTTGCGTTTTATTTATCATTTTTATAATTTAAGCCGGTGTTCGTCGAATATAATTATATTTAATATTACCGCGAATTACGACTTTTTTGCTACGGCGTTACGGGACGATAATTATTTATTATTAATTACCGTTGCGTAAAGCCGGTTTTACCGCCGCCTAGCCGGTTATTACGAAAGCCTAAATTTTAGGGCTTAGCGCCGCCGTAGCCGCCGTTATTACGGCTTAATTATCCGTAATAATTTAAAAAAAAATTTTTATTAAAATTAGCTTAAATTATAAAAATATCGTCGGTAATTCGGGGGGGTATCGGGGGGTTATTAAGGGCGTAAAGCTAAATTTTTATTTTTATAACGCTATTAAAAAAAAATTCGATACGTTCCTGGGCGGAGGCGGGGAATAAACCGTTAATTTCGTTAATTAAATTTTTAATTTTTCGTTTATAAGTCTCCCGTAAGCTGTACGAATCGTCGTCGTTATAAATAAAGCTTTAAATAGAGCCGTAAACGCTAATTTGCGATAATAAATAATAAAAATTTTATTTAAGTCCGCCCCGCCCACCGTTAATAACCATCGGCGCTTTTATGGCGATACGCCGGCGATTTGGTGGTAATACGACGGTAGATTCCTAGGGAATCGCACGTCGCGGTTCGAATAAAAATAATAATAACCCCTAAATAGGACGATTCGTGAAGTTATGGGTGTTTTTAGTATTTCCACGAAAAATCAACAAAAAAGGTTAGTTTAATTATTAACGTTTAAATATAAACAAAAAAGAAACCCCACGCGGGGGTCAAACCCGCAACCTTTAAGTTACTTGTATACAATCAACACTAAAAGCCTAATGCTTTACCATTAAGCCAGCGGGGCTGCTGATGTAAATAAAAAATATTAAAAAACAAAAACTTAATAAGAGATTTTATACGTTTATTAATAAATATTTCGATAAATATTTTATTTATAAGGTAGTTATTAATAATATCGGCAAATTTATAAAAAGAACCTACTAACCGACGATATAAAATTAATAAAACTCCTTAAAGAATATTATGATTTGCTGCGGCATTTTTAACTAAAAAAACATAAATATTGTCATTAAGCCGACCTAAAATAAACTATAAAATTAACCTTAAAGAAGGTATAATTCCACCAAAAATAAGATTACGATTATATTCGAAAAACGAGCTGCGAGCTATTAAAAAGTAGTTAAATAATAAATAAGGTAAAGGATAAATCCGATTTAGTTCTGTAAACGCAGGCGTATTATTATTATTAGCCAAAAAAGCCATAAAAACGTCCGTATTATATCGATTATAAAAATTTAAATAATATTACGATTAAAAACAAATATTTTTTGTTATTATTTAAAAAACGTTAAATAATTTGTCTAAAACGAAAATTTTAACTAAAATAAATATAATAGTAATATTTTATAAGATTAAAATCTAACTAGGCGACGAATAAAAATAGCGTTTATAATAAAATTCGGTTTATATAAGTCGTTAATAATGCTATTTAGGCTATACAACGCTCCCGTTATATTTTAGAATTATATTAACGATATATTTTACGAATTTTTTAATGAGTTTTATATTATTTATTTAAACGATATCCTAATTTATATATTTATAAATTATAAGGATTATATTAAATAAATACGCTAAATATTCGAAGCTTTGGGAAAAACAAGCCTATAATACGATATTAATAAATACGAGTTTTATACGACGGTGATTAAATACCTCGGCTTTATTATCGGTATTAACGGTATTGAAATAAATTCTAAAAAGCTTAGCGTAATTCGAAATTAGGCAGCGTTACGTATTATTAAGGATATTTAGCGATTTTTAGGATTCGCAAATTTTTATAAACGGTTTATCCACGGGTTTTTATCGATAATTAAACTATTAATAAAAATAATAAAAAAATAACGGATAAAGCGTAATTAGTAATAAATTGTAACTTCGGGGTATAATAAATTAAAAACGTATTGAATATAATCAGAAGCAAATAGCTTAAATATTTAAACCCCGATAAATAAATTATACTAAAATGAATATTTCCGATTAGGCGATTAATAATATATTATTATAATATAGTAAAAAAGGTGTTTTATATTTAATAATATTTTATTTAGCTAAATATAATTTTATAAAATATAACTACGAAATTTATAATAAGGAATTATTTACGATAATAAAATATTTAAAAAAATAAAGGCCGGAATTATAAAAAACGAATTTAGAAGTTGAAACGGATTATAAAAACCTTCAATATTTTATAATAATAAAAAGTTTAACTAACGCTGAATAAAATAATTTTAATTTTTTGCTAAATTCGATTTTAAGATTATATATCTATTAAAAAAATATTAAACTAAACTTATTAAACAAAGTACTAAATGCTAGATTAATCGACGTAAAAAACGATATATTACGCAAAAGGCAAAAAATCCTAATAAATACGACTAGACTAAGGGATAACGTTTTAAAGCTTTTAAAATATTTAAGGTTTTACGACTTAAAAAAAGAAAATAAAAACGATATCGACGCAGTTATCGATAAATTATACGAATACGCGTGAGATGCTAAGGTAATTTATATAACTTTGGCTAACCCGGATATTAAGGCTTAGCCTTTAAATATACATAAATTAATAAAAAACTACGAATTTAATAAATGCGAATTTGTAAATAACCGAGTTTATTATAAAAACAAACTTTTTGTTTTTTAAAGCAACCGCTTAAAGCTGCAAATAATTTATAAAAGCTATTTATTATTATAAGCAAGATATCCGGGTATAACGAAAATATTCGAATTAGTTAAAAAGATATATTTTTGGCCAAATCTTAATAAAGACGTTATCGAGTTCGTAAAGGCTTATTATTTTTATAAAAAGATAAAAATAAGGCGCCTCACTAAAGGATTATTAAAGCTATTACTAATCTTTTATACCTTATAAACGGATATATTTATGGACTTTATTACCTTATTACTAATATATTACCGCCATAATTATTATTATAAATATATTATAATAATAATAAATAAATTAACGAAAATAAAACATTTTATTTCCATAAAATCGCTTAATACAAACAAAGCTACTAGATAATTTATAAATAAGACTTTTGCTTTATATAAAGCCCCGAGGTTTATCGTATCGGATAAAAGAATATAATTCGTCTCCGAGTTTATAATATACCTAGTAAAGCGATTATTAATTAAAATAAAGCCGTTGATTATATATTATCCAAAAATAAACAAATAAACCGAAAGGTTTAATATATTTGTCGAATAATATTTAAAAGTCTACGTTATATTCTATTAAGATAACTAGGTAAATTAGCTCTTATTAGCAAAATTTATCTATAATAATCAGGGTTGCAAATGAGTTAACTGGCAGTTAACTCAATTGAGTTAAACTCAATTGAGTTGAGTTACCCCCAAAACTCAAACTCAAATGACTTAACTCAGTTAAGTTGAGTTACCCTTAAAACTCAAACTCAAACTCAAAACTCAAATATTTAACTTAATAACCAACAGTAATAAAATAAAACTAATATTAAAAGACGTTATTTAACGTTAAAAGAAATCGATTTATAAACTTGTTTTTATTTTAACGTTGATATTGGATTTTTAATATTTATTTTAAAATCTTTGAGTCAGCAAAAATGCTAACTCAAACTCAATTGAGTTAACTCTAACTCAAAGGGTTATTAACTCAACTGAGTTTAACTCAAAGAAGTTAAAACTCTAACTCAACTCAACTCAATGAGTTTGAGTTAACTCAAACTCAAACTCAAAACTCAAACTCAAACTTGCAACCCTGATAATAATATAACGTTAAAAAACACGGGGATATTATTATTTTTCACAAACTACGCGTTTAATCCTAGGCTAGGTTTCAAGCCATATATACCGATGCCAAAAGATCTAAAAGGCTTACGAAAAGTAAGATAATAAAATATAAACTAATTAGTTAATATATTCGCAGAAATCCTCGAATACCTAAAGGTAAATAATTTATTAGCTTAAAAAAACCTTAAAAATATGTAAATTAGGGGAGAACGCAAGCGCGTAAATACTAAAAAAGCGATTAGGTTTAGTTAAACGCAAGGAACTTTAGGATATTAAAGCTATTAAAAAATTAAATAATAAATACTACGGCTTATTTAAAATTAGGAAAATTTATACTGACGCCATCGCTTTATAACTCTTATTTATAATAAAAATGTTCATAATTTTTTACATAAGCTTACTTTAATAAACCAGGGTTGGCAATTTGAGTTTAAGTTTTGAGTTAACTCCTAACTTAAACTTATAAGTTTAAGTTAAAGTTAGTATTTTTGAATAATTTATAAGTTTAAGTTGAGTTTAAGTTTTAATATCGTTGAGTTTGAGTTAATTTATATGAGTTTGAGTTAGCACTTTTACTAACTTAAAGATTTTAAAATAAAAATTAAAAATTTAATATTAATATTTAAATAAAACCTAATATACTAATCGTTTTTGTTTTACGTTAAATAACGTTATTTATTATTATTTACGTATTTATGTTAATATTCGTCGAAATAAACATTTAAGTTTTAAGTTAAGTTAAGTTAAAGTTTTGATATCGTTAAATTTAAGTTAACTTATTTCAGTTTGATTCTTAAAGGTAACTTAACTTAATTAAGTTTAACTTAATTGAATTAACTCGGAGTTAACTTATTACTAACCCTAATGCTAATATATTAAAAATTTCATTTATTTATAATAATTATAATAAATTACGGGTTTTATAGCTTAATAAACTTAGCTCGCTAATATAAAAAATTATAGTTTATTATTCGGAATATATATTAAATTTAAAAAATAATTATAATCAGGGTTGGCAATGAGTTAACTCAGAGTTAACTCAACTAAGTTAACTCAAAACTCAAAGATTTATTATTTAAATAAAAACAATATTCTTTTTAAGTATTTAACCTACTAATCAAATTATTAAAAGGGTTAACAATACGGTACTAACGTTATTTTAGCTAAATATTAATTTTCCGGATTCTTATAGTTATTTTAAAATCTTAGAAATTTAAATAAAAATTAATAATATTTCATTAGGATCTTAAAATAACTATAAATATTCGAAAAGTCCATATTAAGTTAAGATAACGTTAATACCGTATTATTAACCTTTTTAATAATTAAATTAAAAGGTTAAATATCTAAAAACAAATATCTTTTTATTTAAATAATTAATCTTTGAGTTTTGAGTTAATAACTTATGAGTTTTGAGTTAACTCAAACTCAACGGCTAAATAACTCACTTGAGTTAACTCAACGATATTAAAACTCAAACTCAAACTCATGAGTTTGAGTTATGAGTTAACTTAAAACTCAAACTCAAATTGCCAACCCTGACAATAATACTTATAATAAGGTTTTATTTTTTATATTTTTAAAATAAAATACTAACAATATATTATTTTATTAAAAGCGTTTATTTTTATTTTTATTTTTTTAATAAAAAAAATATGTTAATATAAAAGTTATTATGAATTTAGATTTCAATTTTTCGAATATTATATTGTATTTTTCGTTAAACGCGAACGCTCGATTCTTATAAATTATTAGGATGTGCCAGCCGGCAGGCTGTGACGGCGATGGCCGCCGGTCACCACGTATAAGATCCTATTTAGTCCGAATGGCTACCACCATTCGGATTCTGACCCTTTTGCCCGCGCGCAGGATGCCCTGCGGGGCACGGTGGTTCAGTGGGTAGGATCCTGACACTCGCCGTGACACAGGCGTCGCCTTTGGCAGACTTATATAGATTCCGCCACGCTGGCGTTAGACTAGTAAATACTTGTGCTTCTACAACACACTTCT